AGATTACCGAAGACATCAATCACATCAAAATATGTGAACGACGTCAAGTAAATTAACAATTCACTTTCGTGCATCTCAAACAAGTTAAGGTTCTGAGATCTAGCAGTATGCATTTCGTAAGAAAAAAATCACACATATCAACACTTTTCATTCGGTTGGATATTACATTCGAAATAAAAACTTTCAAAATATTTCCTTCAACCCAACGTTTTGTTAGTTCTTCAAACCGCATATCCTCATTCACGTGCTTTGAAAGGAAGAATTTATTTAAAGGATTTTTTTGATTTTTCTTTAAAGAACTACACTTAGTCTTGTGATGTAATATATAAGCGTGTTAGAGATTTTTGTAAAACTGACACGCTTGTGTTTACTTCATATAGTAAAAAATAAACCGAGTATCATCCGGCAATAAATAGTAAGTTCATTTTAAATGTAATCAAGAAAAAATACATTTTGTGGTTGGTTCATGACAAAATGACAAATAACATACATCAGTTAAAGTAGAGGCATACAGGCACACGCGGAAATTCAGAAACACCATAAATTATTTTTCGCAATTTTACCCATGATGTCACCACCATCGCGAGTTACGCGAAAATCTATAGCATGCGAAAATACCGGGAGTACAATACGAGAGTTGTCCCATGTCCATTCCTCCAACTTTCTTCATTATTCTTCGAATATAGCTAGCATATGTACTGAAGAACTTTGAGAAATAGTTAAAATGCTATATACCTGACTCATTAATGTAGACTCATACTGTGAAGTGTCAAAATTCCAACCAGCATCACACACTGTTGTTGTAGCATTGATTTTGTGGGCTCCTTTGAGTAATTCTTGATCTGTGTAAGCAGAGAAGTTAACTGCATACATGTGACATTTACTAAACCCACCATCACCAGATTCATCTGTTGTGAAAGGAATACTTAAACTCTTGGAAAATGTCTCATTGAATCTGCCTTGAAGTCCAGGAACCTTACACCAGTGGTTCATGTATGCAGCAGTAAAGTTGGTTAGCTGGGGTTGCCAATAAGCGAAGGTACTTCCAACGATAAATGCTCCGCAATGCAAAATTTGGTACCAACTCTGCCCTACTATATCTGTTAAAAAGGCATCGTACGTCTTTGGAACTGGTTTTGGCTCTTCCTCGGGTGCTGTATCCATTCTGATTTTCTTGCATTTATCAATTTATTGCTACATAAGTTTGATGATTATATGTTATAGTTTCAACTAAATTAATGAATAAAAGTTGTAAATCACATGTCGATTGATATACCACGGTGCCCATGTCAATCTGCGCGCCTACTTAGGCACGCCGTTTGTTTCGATCACAAACTGTGTGCCTAACAACATACGCATTTATCATGTATAATTCAAAATATTTGACAAACAGTTCTTATGTAAGGTATACAGGTGGGCAAAGAAATTGTTCTTTATATGCATGCTAAGTTTCAAGCTAAAATATCCACCTATTCTTACATGATAAGCAAATATGTTCCTGAGCTGGGAATCTTTGAAATTGCGGAGACAGCGCGAAATGGTATCAAATGACATCATATTTCTATTTGTGGTGTGAGTACCGTAATCCAACACCAAATTCGAAAATTCAGAACAATACTTTGCACATATGGCATTCGTGATCAACTATAAAACGCTTAACCCCCATAGTGCTATATAGCAAAATGTACGTGTTCATATAGGGGTTCGATTGATAGACTTACGAAAGTGTTCTGTTAATGGCCAACTTTACGGATTCGTAAGTCATTCGTAACTTTTTAAATATTTACGAATTTCATAAATTTACTCGTAACTTTGCGAAAGTTCTGTTAATGACTACCAGGAGATTAAAAAGAAATAAAGCACACACTGCGCACCTATTTTAGCCAGAAATTACAAACTGAGCGCATACACTATCAAAACTACATATTATTTACTCACTTCGAGAGCCATGTTAGATTTTGAAACTTATGGCTCTCAAACGGGGAAGTGGACAGCTGATTAATAGTGACCTTTGAAATCGAATTAAGTCGATCCGCGGCTTACTTTTGGTCTCTAACTGTGTCTTACATCAGTATCACCAATCCGTGTAAGTATTGGAGCGCTGAAGTACTTCCTTTTCGATCAAGACTTGTAATTGTTAGTCGAGTGAATGTTTTTACTGCCAAATTCGAATATGGCGTTTTCTGCTCGGACATTTTCGTAAATCTCCAGAGGTTGTCCGAACCCAACTAATTCTCAAAATTCATTTCGTTCGTTGCGTATCTCGCTCCTAGCAAACCGCCATATTGGAAATAGGTCTAAAAAACATTCACTCGATGAACAATTTACAAGTCTTGTTCGAAAAAGAAATATTTCAGCGCTCTAATACTTACACGGATTGATGATACTGATGTAAGACACAGTTAGAGACCAAAAGTAAGCCGCGGATCGACTTAATTCGATTTCAAAGGTCACAATCATTCAGCTGTCCAAATGCTCCGTGGGAAAGCTATTATATCAAAATCCAAATAGCTTTCGCAGAAAGTAACATATTATCATTGGAATTTCTACAGAGGCACGTGTAGGTGTTTTTCATATAGCTTTGGAAATTTTGCTTTATCGTCAGATTTTATGAGATTTTCATATTGAAAGTCAAAATGTCTTATAATACAAAACAAGCTTGGATAGGCAAGCAGTTTGGAAATATTAGGCACGCAGTTTGGGAAATACATGTGAATATACAGGCGTGCAATTTGACAAGAAAAATGTTTAAATCACGTTTATGGCGTATTATCCTTTTGAACACAAAATATGCTGCTTTTATCAGATGGAGTGATCCTATATATTCTAGCATACACAGAGACAATGGCTGAATGAACGGTAAATGACGATAAAAGACATAGATATAACTTTACACTGTAAATTTTGAACACAGAAGTTACTTAAAGGGACAAAGTGCGTAAATAAAGTCTCACTTTTGATCTTCATAGTGTTTCCAATGGATTAATAAGTACCTTAAGTACCTGAACTTTCATTTGACACCAAAAACAGCTCAAACAGACCACATCAGAGTTGACACTAGATCATGAAAAAATATTTTTGATCTATCAATTTATATATGTCAAGTTTTTAGCAATGCCATAGAAAGATGCCATTGTTGTTTGCATTAATTATCCATTCTTTTTGATAGGATTTTCAACCATGCGCCATCTTTTAATCCAAGAGTTATTTAAAAACATACACTTTGTGAAAAGTGGTAATTCACTTCTTTTGATCTCTGAACTTCAAATGCTGTTTTCTATGCGAGTATTTTTTTCACTTCAGTATTGACCCAAATTAAAGTTTTTATCATATTTGATTGACTGTGTGAGTGACATGTCTCAAATGATATTTTGTCGACTTTCCTTCAAAAATAGGCGCATTGCCTGTTTAAGACCCTTATATTGAGATAATTAGGTATACATCGGGAACAACATTGAGTACTATGAGTAAATTAAGTTCATCTTCACAGAATGGTACTATCTTTAGAACGAGACTAACCTTGTATTTTTCGTATTTTGGCTCTTTTTGGGAGTCGTGTCCTCACCGTCTTCCCTTTTGTCAGAGTTTCAAACTGCGTGCCTAGTAGGCGCGCAGATTGACATGGGCACCGTGTATTAATATAATTGAAGATTTATGTAACTACTGATAAGGGCACATTCAAGAGTAAAACACATTTTTATTATAACTATGCCACTATGTTCTATATCTTCAAGAGATACTCTTCACATCGATGAAATTGGTAACATTGTTGCTTGACACAATTAAACTATATTACAAATGTATTGGAAGACTTGATTGACCAGGAGAAAATACTAGTACTATATATCAAAGATGCATTACTATTTTTAAAATCAACCACTGTATTATCCACAACTCTAATAATAATTGTCCTAGACAACGCCTGTATTTAAGCAGCTAGAATATTTACAGGGTGGGCCCAAAAAGTGCCACTTTTTTCAAAATGCTATATTTTTAATTTTTGATACAAAATCATAATTTGCATACCAAATGAAATTTGAGGATGCTATCTAGCCATGGATTATGAATTGTACACACCTGAATAAAATATGTCACCAGTGTCCCACTTAAACACATGGTGTGCCATGAGAAATAAACATAATTTGCAAAATGTTCCTGAACTGATACGGCCTGATGACCACCAAGCTAATAGTCCTGATGCAAACCCCAGTGAGTATAGAATATGGGAAGGTCTCCAAGAGATGGTATGAAGGCAACCATTCTCAAAAATTGCCCAACTAAAGCTGTCAATTAAGACAGGTTGAAAGAAACTTAGCCAACATTTCACTGATACTGCTATATCAGCAAGGCAACTAAGACTAAAAGCTATCATCAAAGAGGGTGGCGGACCAATTGAACTCCTCTTTTAGATCAAATATAATCCAAGTTGAAGGACTTGTTACATTATATTATTACTAAAATACCCTGGCACCATATAACTGCAAACTTCGGGGTATGTAGGTTGGAAATAAAAAAGCTATAGTGTCTTGAAAAAGTGGCGTTTTTTAGCCCACCCTGTATATAACTGACGCAAATGTAACGAGGAGTTGCACCAAGAGAGATCAGGCTCTACCAGCATTTGATACAGTTTTCATTTCTACGGTCAGGTATATAGCATTTTAACTATTTCTCATTTTCGAAAACGTATCGATTGAAACGTTTGAAATGCTCGAAATGACATAAGCATTGAAGCGTAGGAAATGATACATGCATTTTAAAACGGTTGAACTGATCTAGAATTACTTCTACACCGGGTACGATTACAGAAGTACCAGGTTCCCCCACTGACAGTTTTGTCTTCGGTATGATTTTTAAGTTTCCAGGAAAGGATAAGCTTAAAAAGAAAACATTAAAAACTCTCTTCTAAAGATCACAATAAATGTTAATCATCACATGTTAACAAGATCAACTAGGTGCGTGCCTTTTGAAATTGCTATATTGCGAGTTATACATTGTCGTATTCAACACCATTCGGACAGTGACTTCCGTTACGTTACACTTAGTTTGTCATTAAGTCGGTGAACGCAAAAGGCAAAATGAATTATTTCTTCCTTTTTATCTAGTTCACGTCGATACTGGATCCTGAGAAATATAGAATTGCATTTAGACGGTTGATATTGCTGAAGTAATTGCAACTCTGGAGTCTCAACACAATTAAGCGAATGACTTGAACATTTCAATCAATGCGTATAGTTCGGGATTCAGTAAAAAATAATTACTTTGGTCAGGGAGCTGAATTAGCGGACTTAGAACATATTTTCCAAGGTCGTCTGGTCCTTAGGGGCCAATAGGCTACGGAAATTAATGGAATTGGTATCCAGAGATTAGCCGAATCCTAAGGTCATAGATTAAAGTGGGGACATAACGTCAGTATTCAAGCCATGTCTCAGTGAAGACATTGGTAACAGTGACATTGGAGACAGTTTTGGACAGACGACGGGCCAAATAAGAGTGAACATACGTGTATGAACTAAACAAATGCAAGGTAAGTTATTTCCCAATTTCAATTAAAACGAGGTGATCATCTCAGAGAAATTGGTTCAGACTTTATAACATTTTAGAACTAATCAGTTTGTAGCATGGTACGATTATTACGCATACAAAATTATGAAAATGTCTATATATTTGTTTGTACAATGTTGAATTCTTTCAAGTTTGGATTGGTATTGAACATTGTTTTGTATTCTATACAGTAGCGAACGTTTTTGGTGATGAAAATGGGTTGAACATTTTCTCGCTTCTTTTTATTAATTATTTTATAATGTTATTTTACTTCAACGTTAAGGCTGAATTTTTGTATGCCCGCGGAGCTAGTGAATTGCGTAATATTCTAATGAGTTTTCGCCCCAGGTATCACTTAAAAGAACAATAAACCACGCAGTGCAAATTACATGCTCATGTGTTTTCAACAAAAATAATTGCACTGCTGGTAGTTCAAAAATGCAGCCTATTTCATATAATATACGTAACATGTAGGGGGCCTACGCTCAGAGCATCACAGGGATTCTTCTAATAATTGTACCTATAGATGTCAAAAAGACAATTAGAGAAGTGAGTCAAGTCTAAATTAACAATCAGTGCCGATCGATCGGCCATTCTTTCAGGTGTCGAAGGAAAAATATTGACGCCATTGTAACGACATGTCTCACGCAACCAACAGTATAGTGTTAACCTTACCTCATACACCCATTCGTTTCTATTTTTCGGTTATAATTTAAATCTAGTATGCACTTTTTACCACAAATCCACTGCAAATTAATTATAAGAAGGCTAATTTGTTATTAATTAATTATAATAGGAGTATCATCGGAACGTTTTAAACCAACGATCAATTGTGATATTAATCAAATCTTTCTGTTTTAAACTTTTTAGAAAAACACTAAAATTAGAAGGCCATGATTTCTCATGATGCCAACGATCCAACAGGATATCACAAGACGTCCTAATGACGGAAAGCCATTGCGTGAGTCAAAACCTAATGACTACATTGGAAAAACATTCTAACAAATAGTTCAATGTATCAATTCTTACAAGTTAATTATTTCTATGGCATCTGTAAGGTTCATGACAAATGTCTAATAAAGCTACATTAGTCCCAAAACATGATAAATGTGTTATTTTCAAATTGCTTTTAATTAATTCATGTCGAAAGTCGAATTCAATATCAATTTCTTTAAAACACTTTACTATTCTTATATTTATATTTGCGATGAATATAGGGAAAATTTATAACTATGCGTGTTTATTTAACCAAAAATAAAGAATCATTAGCCTTGATTGACGTTGCACTTGAAGTATGCATGTATTATTCTCTAGTCCAAGACACAATGCTTTCAGTTTGTTTGTGAAATATATCATTGTTGTTAACCTTTAACCGAGAGTAAAAGTTCTTAAACTACGTGGACTTCTTTCTTGCAGTTATATTGTGTAAGACAACCAAGATGCTTACGCATTTACCTAGGTGTACATGGATGACTTTCCACCGAAGACCCCAAAGATAGAAGTCTCGCGAGATTTCATGATCAATTCTCGAATGTCTCAAGAAACCCGTGTCGCCCAGATATTGATACAAGGTAATACATCAATGTTCGAGAAATTTAAAGCAAAAAAAGATTATAGCTGTTGAACATTTTTGCATTATGGGATCCCTTGAAAAAGAGCTTTAGATAAAATAGTACCGTGGGTACTGGGCTCACATGGTGTTGCTCAAAAGTTAATGATGGCTAAAATGGCAGAAAATAAAAAACGGATATAATTTTTGCCGATTTTTTGTAACAAAATTATTTCCTACAACTAGTCTTTACAGTGACATATGGCTTTTTATAATGCAGACACCTGCAATTATTTGTAAAGCTAGGAAATGGGCCAAAGGTGAATTTCGCGAGAAAAATAAGCGACTATTTTGAAAATAGGCGAGCTTTTGAACCAGGAGTCATAGGGGAGTTTTCTGTATTGATGTTGAATAAAATACCTTAAAACTGGAATCCTATCGACAGAGGTTTTAAGGCAAATGGTCCAAAAGTGGATTTCGCGAGACAGATGGACAAATCAATGTTAACTAAAATGGCTAAAAATAAAAAAATTCGCGAGAAAAATAGCGACTTTTGTGAAAATAGGCGAGCTTTTGAACCAGGAGTCATAGGGGAGTTTTCTGTATTAATGTTGAACAAAAATAACTTAAAACGAGAATCCTATTGACAGAGGTTTTGAAACAGGCCAATTGTTGATAGACAGACGGACAAGTGAGTGATTGCAATAGCTCACCATGTGAGCTAATAAAGAGAGACTGATCAATCAGAATGGACATTTTACTGTCCCTTCCATTTGCTGCTTTCACGCTGTAATATATGATGATAGGGATGTTAGGTAGATATCTATGTATGCCTCTAGTCATGTTATAAAGAAATAATGGTTCTATGAGATTATTTTAGATAAGTCCCCATTGGCCATGATCGATATAAAATAATAGAGAAAAGGTTAAAAATTTGCCCGAGGGATATCCATTTGACAGTATTCCGTAAGGACTGGTACAGTATCTTGGGTGAATCGAAACGTTTTTTAATCAAACAGCAGTTTGTGAGGGGAACTAGTGTTTTGATGAAGTATACAGGGTGTTTCTTAAGTATGCATCCCCCATAAACTCAAACATAGTATTGGCACCCTCTCATGTTATATACAGTATCATTTTGTTCCTTATGAAAAGTTACATTAGGATTATAAAAAGTTTCAGTATCCAGAGATGTCCCTGAAAAAGATACAACTTATCAAAGTATGTGGGTACGGGTCATTTCGACGGGAGTTTCTGGTCATTTCGAGGGCAATTTAAAGAAAAAAATTAGTTTCTGTATTGCACATTTTTAGCAGTTGTCACCATGGCAGAGTTCAGTCCACACGTGTGACAATTATGCACATAATTAAATAGATATGATTCTTGCAGTGGCTTATAGTGAGGCCAGTGATCCTGGTTTGACCACTATCACTAACAACAGAATGGTTAAGTGAAAAAGTGAACAGATCACCGGACTGAGTCCAAAAAATGACCCGAAATTGCCCCCTAAATGATCCCATACCCGCAAACTTTGATACATTACATTGTATCTTTTTTTCTGACAAAGATAAACCATTTACGTTATGTATTATATATGAACATCTGAAGTCCGTCTTGATCTAAAATACGTATATTTGTCGGATATCGGACTTGAATCAATTTCCACGCAGTTACAATGATCGTATCATTAGATTTGTTTATTTTAGATAATTTGATGGTCTGAGCATTTCAATTTCGATCAAAATCCCTCGACCACCCAACAAAAACTACATCATGTTATCCGCATATAGAATATTTTGGAGTATTGTTGCTTCACCATGGCTATGTTTATTAGGGTTTGAACTTGGCCAAGTGAATGCCAGCATGAATCAATGATCTGCAACTGTGTAGTTGAAATCTATTTTTGTCACGTGTGAAAAGGATAATTTAAACACGCTGCATGCTTAGAACCAAATTCTGAAAAAGAGTGTTTTACTTTTGGTCACCCTATACAAATATGTTATCTTCAGTTATTTAATTTACGCGTTCGTAATTGATTTCTGACCATGTCCTTATTAAGAGAAAGCTCTAGTTAATCAAATAAGCTACAAACCATTCAATTAAGGTTAAAGATATGACATATCGGATTTTCTTGTAAGATTTCGAAGGCCAATGAAAATAAAGTCCTACTTTTTCACGTTTCCCTCGTAATAAAGGTAATTAGATATGTGTCAAATTACTCCAACGTCTGAACCAAAATGGAATTTTCCTCGAAAATCCCATAAGAGCTCGATCGCGAGTTTACACCGGATGTACTTTTTTTTATAGAAATGGCTACTTGCGTCTGTGTATTCTAAAGCTGATTTGCTCATACGCGTATTTTTTATTCTGAAGTTTTTATTTTATTTTATTCAATGCCCTTGTTTATACAAAAGATATACTCAATATATATTTCTTAGCAAATAGACAAGACAAGGTCGTCTTTTAAGTCAATTAAAAATAAAATGATCACCATTTTCGCTTAAAAGCCATCAAACCGTCCAAACAGAAAATGTGTTATGCTCCTGACTTCTCCTAAAAGCGATCTAATCAATGACCTACTCCGTTGATTAAAGTGATTATTCTCGCCGATCAATTTATTACATTATATCTAATTGCACAAAAAGTGCAAGTAAAACATTTTATGTTCATGAATTGGAGGGGAATAACAGCTTCGCGGTGTAAATAGAAGTTATTTACTTGTAGGGATTGGATATGAGTTTTATTCCAAGAGGCAAAATTATATTTCCCAAGGGCCCGGAGTCTAAAAATATGAATTAACTTTATGACATTTTGAAATATAAAAACTTTATTGTATAATATAAACACATCAACATAAAAAAATTCAACAATAACATAATATGCATGTTCATTACGGGGACCAAACACTATTTCTCTTATTGCTCAAAGTTCTATGACTTTGATTGTCTTCTTACGTTCCAAAATTGCTCTATTCCAATCAAAATTTGTTTGGAAAATATCGTTTCTCACAAAAGAGAATATATTTGTTTCGCAGAAATTCATGGGAGGCAAATACCATTTTCGTGTGCGGAGATGAAGGGGACAATACGATTTTTCCAATGGAAAATTTTTCCATGGAATATTGAACAAATATTTCACTCTATTAAGGTGAAGTACCTATATCTTTCACAAGTGATATTTCACAAAGCCCATATGGCTAGTGGAATATCATCTTAGGTTTAAAAAGACATTCACATCGGTCCAGAAAAAAGTGCAGTAGTTTTATCATAAAATCAAATCAGAATCAATCTAATTAAAGAATATGAATCAAGTAAATCACGACCGCCCAGGGGGAACAAATCAACAATGCAAAACATCTCATTATTAGAACGTCAAAAAGTCAAGTAAAGCTTTTCCATTGTTTAAAGTGCCGAGTTGCTCATCGGAAAATATCCCTAGTGAATCATTTCGAATTCTGACCTTTTTGGATTTGTTGTTTTGTCTCGTTTTGGCATGTCGTTTTGCAATCTTAGAGAGAATGAAAGTCCTGGTCATCTGGCCTATTTTTGTCCCAAAATAAATTCGGTTGAGCAGACCCTTTGCTTGTAGTAGTCTTATATAGATTGATGTAGAATGTGTTGCCATCCTGTTGGTGACAATCAGTTTCTTTATAATTGGATTTGCAAATTCTCTTAGAGACATTAATTTCTCACATCACTATCATGAAATAGAACATGTTTCAACGAGTTCTCAATCTGGTTAAAAGGCAGCTCGTTGGAATCATAAATTAGCTTTGCAAATCTTAGAACAAAATCCAATGCAGCAGTGCAAAACGATGCAATTCTGCTTGTTTAATATGCGATTCTTTTAATTTCTCCTGCAAAGGTAGATCAAGCAAGGAAATACGCATAGAATCGACGGTGTTGAGTTTTTAAAGAAAATGGACTTTTTGCTCTGGATATCAGGTGATGATGTTGAGTTCAAGGCAGGGCTTGCTGCCTACTCAAGAAAAACCACGAGAAACCCTTTATTGACGAGGTAATTTTAAGGTAGAGAATTGCATCTTTTGAAATTGCGTTGTCATGTGGATTTCATTTTTTGCCAACTATCTATAGCTATGTCCCATTGTATGTAACATGTTGAATGTGACAGTAAAACAGATTAATGTAGAATGTGTTTAACGTAGTCGCCATACGGTTGTTGTCAATCAAAGTTAGTTTCTTTGTAATTGGATTTGCACATTCTATTAGAGGCATTTATTTCTCATATCACTGTTACGACATTGAACATTTTTCAACGAGTTCTCAATTTTGTTAAAAGGCAGTTTGTTAGGATTATATTGAATTTGCAAGTTTTAGTAAAATCTGAGCACTATTTGATGTAGCCTTATTACATTATGTCTTGCATTAATAGTGGCTTAAATGATTAGTACTGGCAACAATGCGAAGCTGACATTTTAGTCGAAATCCACATTCGCATCACATACTCCATCAAACATTTGGTGGAAATAATGCCAAAATACACGACAACGATAACACAGTTCACATCTATGATATTTCAATGTCTTAAGGCTATATACCATTTTATTGTCATAGAGACCGTGATATATCACAGAACTGCAATTGGAACCAATTTTATACTTCCATTTCTCTTTCGATTTATCATCATATACAATGGGATAGGAACCTAATGGAAACTGACATGGAACTATAAAAGCGATTGAGGGGCGATTACTAGAAGTCTCCAGAGGAAAATAAAATTAAGGGATCGATGGCTTGGTAAAATATGGGCAGTAGAGCAGAGCAAATATTTGCTCTATACAAGGCTATAGAGAGTTTCCGATGAGTGCCAAAGAAGACGATTACTCTTGATAAATCGGGCGAATGTTTCTGGAGAGAAAAATCCAAGAAAAAGATAACTATTCCAAGGAAATCAACAAGAATGAATGTCACTCTTAATTACAAAAGCTTTGATTTGGCACATTCTAACAGGCGCCAGATAAGATAAAACTAACATGGTCGGGCATTATCCAATAAGGGCGATACCGAAATACTTAAATACTCTATATGAAATTCAATTTAGTGAAATGCACCTTGTTTATATCCTTCATGAACAAGTAATTACGTAGCAAGCAGCAAATATCCGCCAATTTAATTTTTTCTACTCGTTTTTCAAGTTTAACGTCATAAGTGCATTACATCTTATCATAAAGTATAATGGCCTACTTAATCAGATACAGCAGCCACGTTATAAAAAGCATTTAGCAATATGGTCGTTTATGAAAAAGGATCCGCTGCAGCGTCCCTAAATATTTTACCATTATGATGCGTGTACATGGAAAAAAGGTATTGCATTGAACGGAAATAACCAAAACGGGACAGTGTCCCCTCTTTAATGGTAACTACAAAGTGAATAACATTTAGCAAGTTAAGTGAGGCCCTCGAGGAAAATATAAATTTGCATATAGTGTAAATGTGTCTTAAAAACACACCACCCGGAATTCTAAAAGCATATTGTTATGTAAAAAACATTATCATTCTTCGATGTCTCATTTATTGAAGTTACTCAATATATTATGTTCTCTTGAGATTTATAAGTAAATGTATGTTCAATTAGCTAAGTAGAATGGAAAAGCTATGCACTTTACATATCTATTTCCAAAACAATCTCTGCAGAACGAAGAGATGCTCCTGGCACTAGATAACTTGATATACGAAAAGAAAGTGAGATTAGTAAAACAACTTACAAAAGCCGAGATTTTTGTTTTTGCTAATTTTCTAAAATCACAGTATAGGAATTTGCAAATCGATCAGCACGCTTCAGCATGAGAATACACATTCGTTTACATATATACGATGTGCTGAGGGAACCGACGTCGTAAATGATAAGAAACTGCTCCTCGTCGAGCAAATATTCAAAATTGTTTCATTAATCGCCCTGCCACATTCTAATATAAGATTACGAACATACACGCACTTTTGCACTATATGTTCGACTGTATGATATATGATTGTCGTCCGTTTTCAACAGTTTGGGATTAATCAATCGGACATTGCGTGATTCAAGTAGATTCTGGTCAATCAAAAGGTCATCGGTTTTATGGAATCCCTCGACAATAGATCAATCTTAAAACGATCCTGTTTTCTTAAAGAATCAATGTGCACCTAAGGCAGTTCAACTTCCTGGTGGATCTCATAGAGAAATCAATCTATTCACATTACCCAAATAGCTTATTGATTGATTGTAATTCTAATAACCATTGAATAGGTTATGGCAGTCATAAAACCATCAATACTACAGTAGGGAGTCTATTCCGCATGAGATTGGATTACGTCTAATAAGGACACATTGGCGGAGATTACAACTGTAAAAAGAACGAGATACGAGGTGCTGATGTTGATTGTGTTTATAATGGTACATCCGACAGCAATAAAAGAAAATTAAAAATCAATTTTTTGAATATTTTTATTGGAATAACGTTTAATTGACCGGTAAGGTTTACTCAGCTCAAATTAATCCATGTCGGGTGTCAGTATCTTAAATTATTTTTTTGGGGTCTCGTAGTTAGAATGGAAGTACTTTCCTCTCCGAACTCCTCTATTTGAAAATGTGTCATGTTTGACCATTTCAAAAAATAATATCAACGTTTATGAATTAAAGATCTGTTATATTTGTAAAAAATTATCAACAACAGAATTGGATACGTTGTTTCATTTAATTTGGGGGTAACTTTTGTAGGGGGTATAAAGAGGAATTCATAGAAGACCCATCTACCCTAGGATAGGAGCTTTGGGACGGAACGGTGCTTGAGTTGAAAGACTTTTTAGGGAGATCGTTGGAAATAGTTGATGGGGAAACATAACTGTGGTATAACATGCCCTCGCCTGAACAAACCAACATATGATGTCTATGCCCATAACATACACATCTAACCGAGAGAGTTATTACACCGAGAATACAAGGAAATCCGGGTGGGGGACTGAATCAGATCAACTATTCGTTCGGTTGCATTATTAATTAGGACAAAGATCAATCACACTAATTGCGAATTTCAAACCGTCATTAAAGCAATTCTACAAGGAGACATATTCCCATTTACTCTTTTCTAATGTTGCGCAAGGCAGACGTGTCCATCCGGTGACAAACCTTTAAATAAGGCAACTCTACATAAGGATACATATTCACTCTCAGCTATTATTCAATACAGACAGGTACATCCATTGTGTATTAGGTCATCCTGATGGGAGATTAGAAGCAGAATGAGACGCTAGGCCGTGAATTTGAATAAAGTATCTTAACTTAGAAAGAACATAATTAAGGCTCGCGAATGGTCGTTAACTCACGAGGAAAAGACTTGTACTAAATCAGTACAAATCCCTTTGTCTGTCAAGACAAGAATGTATTGAATACCCCGGTACCAAAATCAATATAGAGGAAGAAGTATGAACGCAACACTGAGTAGTCTGTCATAGAGTCTTCTCTCGCGTCTCATCCTTTTCAACTCAATTGTATTATTTAGAAGACTACTTGCGATATACTCATTAAGAAACGTGTTATGGATTCAATATTGTGATCGTAATTAGGCATACAAAATAAGAACTCGTTTTGCGCAGCAGTGATATATCTGGTGTCACTGTGAATGGCGGAGGATGGATTAATAACTCATCTTCATTTATTCGGTTCTCGTTAAGCCACAGAATAGTTATATGTGTTGAAACTTCACTTGTTTCAGTTCAACATACTGGATTAAACGAAAAGACATTTGGAAACAAAAAGCAAGGGGAAATTGAGAGAGAATTAATATTATCCATGTTCGAGAAAAGGAAAATTCTACGAGGAGAGTAGTGTTACCCAAATATCACTATAAAATCAGATATCAGGTAAGTCATGGTGCATCTTTTTAATTTCCATTAACAATATGTTTAACCTACAGGGATCCATACATTGGGACTTCTTAATTTCGCCATTAGTTACATTTTATGAAGTTATCATTAGACAAGTAATGCCACGACCTAACGATACTGCAATCGGGAGAAACATCGGATGTAACATCCACTTCCGACCTATTATCTGACGAGCCTATAATTAAGTACTTTGGAGTATTCAATCACTGCACCGCAAAATAATGATCTCTTGTGCACAACCATAATTGCATTAATAGACATTCTATCAATCACTCATAAACCGACTCCTTTCAAGCCAGAGCAAAAAACTTCAAACATCGTATTGACTAGAGATCACAATTGACACATTTTTCGTAATAAAATAGCATCATTTCTTGCATATATAATACAAGAGGTGTAACATTATCACCAAAGTATAAATGTGTAAGTGAACGAATATGTGTATTCGATAAAATGACCACTATATTGGATATGATTACTAAATAGAAGAGACTTTCAAGCTAGCATCCTTAGACATGATGATCATTTGCAAGAGACAGAATACCAGCTCGATGAATACCTATTTTCAAAGACTTCTTTTTGTATATACCACTTTCCCTTATATGTACTTTTGAATATTCTACACAATAGCAAAGAGGATTGGCTCCAAGAGTGCCACATCGATATTCTGCCTCATATATGGGCATGTCGTGATACAAAATTTGAATTCAAACAGCCGCCATTTTGTTCACTTCAACATTTGAATCGTGAATATTGGTCTTATTTTCTTACGAAAAATTCCGAAACTCACAAGAAATGATCGAGATGTTAATTCAAATTTTTTGAAGTGTTTATTTTGAATTTGTTGTCGGTTTTGATTTCAGAAAATAAAGTTCGACGTTTTCATTGTTGGAAAATATCGAGTTCGATCCTGGGACCCAATCCTCCTTGACACAATAGCATATTGCACTTACACCCCCCTCTATACATTTGGTAACCTAAGTTCCATCCTGGGTCCCTTATGTTTGGCGATGATTTCATCATGTATGAGTCATGAATGTCCGAACATTATATGGACGCTCTTTACTTGCATCGAATGGTTTTTGATGGAGGTTGTATGTACATTTAACTGCTCGTTTACAGATTGTGCAGAAACAAATTTGACACTGTTTTGTTCAACTTGGTTCATTAGTTGTACTTATCATTATCTCAGCGAACGAAGTTCGAGAGGGATATAGGAAAGCCGTCCATAAATACCAAATAAGAAGAACAAAGAGTTGAACGAATAAAGATATTCTCAAGCTACCAATACAAGCACCAACCTAAAGACGTCCGTTCGTCTGTCTGGGCAATAACTCAAATACCGTTTAACAGATTTGATTCAAATTTTGTAGGCGGATGCCTTATGGGTATAGGACCGCTGCTCGAATTTTCAATGTGGAAACTCAATTCAAAATGGCTGCAATTTTTCAAAAATGTAATCATTGATAACTCAAATACTTGTTGACGGATTTGCTGTATATGCTGATGCCTAGGGACAAAGGAGCTTTGCTACAAAATATATTTTTAAGATAGCAGCTTAATTTTAAAATGCCGGCCATTTTTCTAAAAAGATGTAAACTTTGATAACTCAACTACCAGTGGACGGATGTGGTTCAAATTCTATATGCTGATGCTTGAGACAAAGGAGCTCTGCTCAAAAAGACATTTTCAAGATGGCTACGGAATTTTAAAATGGCCGCCATTTTGCAAAAAAACGTAATCATAGATAACTGAAATACTAGTAGACGGATTTGGTTCAGATTTTATATGCTGATGCCTAGAGAGAGAGAAGCTTTACTGAAGAAGAGATTTCTAAGATGCCCATCGAATTTCACAAGTTCAGCCATTTTTCATAAAAATATGTAATCTTTGATAAATCAAATACCGGTGGATGGATTTGATTCAAACTTTATAATGCTGATGCCTAGAGACAAAGGGGCTCTGCTCAAGAAGACATAATATGAGATAGCTACCTAATTTTAAAAAGCCACCATTTTTCGTATAATAAGTCATCTTTGATAGGTTATCTCAAATACCAGTGAATGGATTTGGTTCAAATTTTATATGCTGATACCAAGGGAGCTCTGTTCAAGAAGAAATCTTTCCCTATTTATCAAGAATAATTCTGTTCGGTGGGATTTGCTTCTCCGTGGAGTTGCTGTTTTCTGTTATTCTTGTAGTCAAGACAAGAGAAACTTTGTTACAAAAGCAAGTAATGGATAAATATGAAACTCTGATCATTGATTGGAACTGCTTCCGTTGTCAAAAGGGAGATCTATATTGGATGATTTTATAAATGAGCATTACTCAGCTGAAAAATTCCTAAAGTATAAATAGTTATAGGAAGGTTAGATTAGTCTCTGGTTTGCTTGCTTGTAATATGTCGACCCCCGGTGATTACTGTCCCGCTCTCAATTTACTTTCTAGGGACCTTATTACAATTATTTCCGTATACCTTTATATACTCAATTGGCCAAGTAAGCACTACAAATGGGAGTTCTAATCCATAGATGGCCATGCAAAATTCTACTCGTTCAGTCGTTTTAAAAAAACGTGTACCCTAACCCCCCCCCCCTAATATCGCTCGAGAAAATGTTTTGAAGAAATGTGGTTTTAGGGTATTGATTAGTTTTGTGGAATATTTGTAAGTAAAGCGTGTGTACATGATGGTAAATTTGCCAAGACAATAGTTATGCCACTGCATTAAGTAACATTTGACGTTAATGTAGGTTTAGAATATTGATCAATCTTGTCTTGAGGAAATGCAATGATAAAAGTTATAAAAGAACTTTCAAATTACGAGTGTTAATTTATTGTCTAATAATGGAACTGCAAATTCTCGCAGCTTAGAAAATTACGTTCAAGTATGATGATTTGATGGTTGATAGAATAGTTATTCTTGGTGGCATAATTGACGTGTAGTCTTCAGGGACGACACACTATACTCGACTAAACATGTCAATAATGGCGTAAACATGGTGCTGGTGTAGAAGTATTGATAGCTAAACCTTACTTTATAATTTACAAATACCCCTGGGACTATACGGCTTAGAATTAGAAATAGTCTCCAAACTAATTAAATTGTAAAGTCCTCCAGTTGATTATTAAAAAACTTTACCATGGTGACTCAACTGATTAAGTTGTTACACTTATAAAATATCTTTCCAAAAATCAATCTCTTTTTGACATCGTTTACCAGAATCAAATCAGCCTTGCGCAATAAAAACTCCTAATGCTTTATAAAACTATTGGATGGATAAATCAGAAGGATGGTCAATTAAATATATTGAATATGTTTCAGAAATGACGTTGTGCTGATAAAATACATCACTGATTTTTTGTGTTCTAACATTGAACGCAAGGCAACGAATAAGCAAGCAAGCATGCAAGAAAGCAAGCAGGCAAACAAACACACAAATAATGTAATCGATATTGTAAGTTTGCTTTCACAGACATTATATATTACCTTATTTTCATATTATGTAAGTCCTAATACATGAAAGTAGGAAAATAACAATTTACAAAAAACAACATCAATACCGTTTTTCTGGACACCCTATACATATAAGCCATGTGTGCATATCATATCATATCAATAACGTACTGGACGCATTTCTTATGATTTCCTATGAAGACTCGACAGTATTGATAATTCTGAAGAGGTATTATAAGAACATGATGATCAACGACCATCAATATTAATAAAACCGATAATAGTAAATTTGCTCAGATGTACAATATACAAATAATACATTATACCTTCTAAACCATATCAATAATGAACTGAATAGTACAAACACCATATACATGGACATAGTTATAGAACAACTAGGCCAGAATATGATATTCTGTAGCAATATCGAAAGTTAAACTCAAGCCATTGATCGCATCCCAAAGGAAATATTTGATCCTTAGCTCGACATAATCGCTAATTGGGAGAAATTAATTGCAAATTCATGACAATCTGAATTCCCCAAAAGTCTCGTCAAGGCACAAAAACATGAAGCTAGACCATCATTAATAAACTTATTGTTAACATTTGTGGGAAACGTGTATAATCTTTATTTATACGGGTACATTTACAATTGGAATAAGACGTCACAAGGTCGATATTTGATACACTTTTAATCCCCCAAGTCTCTTGCATATGCAAGTCCATCAAAGTGTGTTAATTCACTCATAAAACTATTCTTAAATTCATAGACTTATTCATGTTATTCATTGTCAGAGTGCTTTCAATATCTTATTAAGAGTATTGCGAGTCATAGGGTAAAGATCAGACCTAAATTACTTATCAATTACTTTTGTTCAAAATAGAATATCGTCAGCTATAAGTGTGACAACAGGAAATACCAGTGAAAACGTTCATTTACGCCTCAGTTACATTTGCCCTAAGGCGGGCGTACGGCCGCCGTCCGGTCAAATGTGACTAAGCAGTCAAGTCGAGTAACTAAGTCAACATTCGAAAATAAAAATCTCAAAAATCGTACATCTTTGATTTCCAAAATAATTTGTGATTTGTTAGCGTTCTCGAAATAAGTATTCGAAATGTTTGAGTTCGCGTCGATAAAAGTACGTTAAGATATACCGCTTCTTAAATTCCTTTGGGAACAAGATATTGAATCAAAACATTTTCTTCTTACTTAATCCCTGACACATGACAACGCGTACGAATGTTAAATTATTTTGTAAACGTTGTTCTCTACAGGTGCCATTTTTTATAATTATGACGTGCACGGACATGGGGACAATTAGAGAAATACGGCCTAATGTCACCTTTAAATGTTAATACCCGCCTAAGTAAAAAACCTAAGTATGTGTTTCATATATCATTTTGAAGCTTATTTTATGCGCATTTCAGTGATACTATTTTTGCTCGAAAATTGATGTGATCTACCATTTTTTTAAAGTTAAAACTGCCCCAACATCGAAAAATACGTTGTAAGACGTAACAC